TTTAAAAGATAATACACATAATCTAACATAATACATAATAAACATAAACTTTTAACATAATACACATCAACTCTTAACATAATACACACAAATTTTCTGATTCGGATGTACATAATTATATAAAAAGAATGTACATAATTGTATAAAAAATACACATAACTGTATGAACCAATACACATAACGTTGTGAACAAATACACATAACGTTGTGAACAAATACACATAATTTCAGCAACTTCCTACCGCGCCTCTCAACACTACCCCAAAACGACGTCGTTTTGGGAGGCGCGCGGCGCACAGTGCTATGTGTGCCGTGGTGTAGGATATAACGATTGACATAAATATTGCAGGGCATTATTATAAGCAAATTATGTTGTGAGCACGTGCCCACCTTATAAAGTGGACACGGTTTCATATCTATAATTTCTATACTGTAGATTCATTATTTCTATACTGTAGATCCATAATTTTTATACTGTAAATTCATAAAATTTATACTTTAGATTCCAATTGTTGAACTCTGTTTTCACAAATCAGAGAACTCACTAAAAAAAAAAAATGTCTATATAGTGATGGATTTAGCGACGGACATAATCCAAGGTGCTCTTAAGATTAATTGGTGTTTGGATGGGAGAAAATAAATTAGGACTTCAGCAATGAATGTATGTGAGATGTATTGCTGTCAATTAACATTTCCTAACAACTTGATGCAATGAAATTATAAATCCAAGGTGCTCTATAGTATTAGATATTTAGATCTGAAAATAAGCTAAGACCTGGATTGAATTGGGCAAATAACAGTTTCTAGCAAACAATGCTTAAAGCCATAAATATGTGGAAATTGCAGATTCAGGAAGATAAAAGTATGAGAAATTTTATTGCTAAAGAAGGTCTATCTTCTACAGATAGGTCTGAAATCAATGAGCTGAAGGGCGAAAATCTTACAGTTTGAGAACTAAAGTGCACACTTGAAAGTTTTTGCATGTATTTTTAACCCAAAGCTCCCTTTGTTTTTATCTTTTTATCTTTTCTTTGGGGCCTTTGGGTTTGTTTTCTATCCCCTTAGCAATTATATCCACCCATGTTGATGCAAACAAGTGATGCTATATAGACACTAAAGTTATACTCTACAAAATTGCATGTTTAAGGAAAGTCATATTTAAAAAACACCCTATATGTTTAAGGAAAGTCATATTAAATTGCATCTTTTTGTTGTAATATATATGATCAATCATTATCAAGCCTCAATTATGTAATCTTTCTTGCAGATTGATAGCTGCTTGCATTAAAGCCTTGAAGGAGGGGTTATCATATATTTCAATATTATTATTTAATAATTGTAGCATTGTAGAGCTTCTCTAATGAACTTGCCCAGAACTAGAGCACAATCAAGGCCTAATAGTTCTGTCTTTAGGAGGTGAGATTTCTACTTGCTATATAGGTATTTGTTCTTGTATATATGTAGTCTCTGCTCAAATTATAGAAATAAAGTCTTCTATTGTGGTAAATGGATGGTTTTGGTAGTTCAAATTAAATTGTATAAATTAAGTTAGTATCTTGTTTAACAGGTTTTGGTGGTTAAAAGTATTGTGGTTACTCTAATTGTTTATAAACTTTGTTTCTTCATGTAGGTCTAAGATATTTTAATTGTTATTTGTAGGTATGGATTATGTTGAACCCAAGAAACGGACCAACTTTTTAGGGAAAATTCTTATGGCTGTTGTCCTTATAGCTCTGTGTCCTTATGTTCAAGCAATCCCCTAAGTTGAACACCTCAAGCCCTGTAATTCTTTGATTGATCGCTTTACATGTTACTTCAGTGTAGATTTCTCAAGTGATCTAACATGTTTGCTTCGTTGGACTGAACCTCTGCAAAAATATACAATGTAAAATTCAAATGCATTCTTTTATAATTTTAAACTGGCCCTTTCAATTTCTGTTTTTTCTTAGTTTGCCCATCACAAACGAGGTGTTACTCATTCTTCCAAAAGGTTGAACCCCAACCCGTGAACCACGGAGGCTAGACCTTTGCTTACTGCGCACAAGGAGCCCCCCTCACTTTAAGAGGTTGCTCCCATGCTTACTGAGCACAAGGAGTCCCCGCTTACTACGCACAAGGAGTCTCCCTCACTCTGAGCACAAGGAGTCCCCGCTTACTACGCACAAGGAGTCCCCCTCACTTTGAGAGGTTGCTCCCACACTGCCGCTGGTGAGACTTGATCCCTGGTCATTCTTCCAACTTTTCACCTCTTTGACCAATTGAGCTGCCCATGCGAGTAAACCAGGTATTACTCATGTCTTAGTTACTGGAGGCGTTGGGTATATTGGTGCCCATTCTACATTACAACTTCTTAAGGACTCATAACGTGTGACTTGAAAAAAGTCTGACAAAAGCCTGAAATACTGGTATTAAATCACCATTATACAACAAAATTCAAATTATAGCAAATTCGTAGCTATTACCTTCTAATAATAAAAAAAAAAGGTAACGAAATAGCAACAGAAATATCTGTCGCTAAATTTAGTGACGGATATTTCTGTCTCTAAGCTGTAGTTAAATGACATCCATTGCAAACAATAGAAATAAATTAGCAACGGAAAATTTCATTGCTAAATCTAGCAACGGAATTTTTCGTCGCTATTCCCTTGCAAAGTTTCTCATCCAAATCGGCGCTGGGAAGAAAAAAGTGACGGAATTTTTATAGTTTAGCGCCGGAAAAATCCGTTGGTTAAATTTAGCGACGGAATGAAATTTGGTCGCAAAACTTTAGCGGGCTTTTAGCAACAGACCGAATCCGTCGTTATACGGTTTAGCGACGAATTTTTCCCTTTCTAGCAACGAAAAATTCCGTCGCTATTTCTGTGTTTTTTTGTAGTGAGTATATGTTCATAATTTGATAACTATACAGTTTAAAAATTATGAATTTACAGTATAGAAATTATGAATTTACAGTACAAATATTATGAATCTGCAGTATAGAAATTATGAATCTACTGTATTTAAATTATGAATCTACGGTTTAGAAATTATGAATTTAAAGTATAAATTTTATGAATCTACAGTATAGAAATTATGGATCTACAGTATAAAAATTATGAATTTACAATATAGAAATTATGGATATGGAACCGTGCCCACCTTGCAAGTTGGGCACATGCTCACAGCATAACGTTCCATTATTATAATACCCAACTGATTTATATCAGGGTTAAAACAATGAGGTACAAATTTCATATACGCGTAAAGTACAAACTTTTATAACACAAAATACCAAAAAATTACAACATAAGACACATAGCATAGCATTATGGACTCAGCTGTATTAAAAAGACATGGTACACAATTCATACTCGTAAAATATAGAATTTCATAACACAAGACAAAAAAAATCATAACACAAGTTACATCATATGTTATATATTTACGTATTTTAAAATCTGACTTAGGCACGTATTATGTATTCATAGGTACAAAATTTCACAATACAAGACACAAAAATTCATAGCATAAGACACAATTACTAATTTGTTTCAAGTACCAAATTCATACTCATAAAGTACAGAATTTCATAATGCAAGACACAATATATCATAACACAAAACACAAACACATGGACCCGATGTGAAACTTGGTCCATGGTATAACAATTGATCACAACCAAGGTTGCAAAACACGTTAGGCACCCCCTAGGCGCCTAGTGCCTAGGGCGCCGATTTTTTAGTTTTTTTTTTAAATGTAAAAAAAAATTAAAAATTAAAAATTATCAAAATTTACTAATAAAACATAAGGTTCTCATTAGTTTTTCTTACAAACTATTTATTTAAGTGGCTATAAAGTAGTTCAAAATATTGTTGAAACCATGAAAAAAAAATTGTCCAAAACGGACAAGCGAGTCAAAAGTTATGCTTTTGCCAAACTTTTAACATTTTACAACTAAATATAAATATAAATATAAATATATATATATATATATATATATATATATATATATATATATATATATATATATATATATATATATATTAAACGGCCGGTTCAGCCGGCTAGGCGGTCTAAACGGCCGCCTAGCCGCCCGGCAGTTGAGGAGGCCGATTCCAACCTTCCTCGCGGCGACCGAGCAGCGCCTAGGTGCAATTTTTCCAACACAGCTCTATCTCTTCTAAATTAATAAACAAATTACATTGTTTGTTCTTTTTGTTAGTCCATTGGAGTTAGTTTGGATTTTTTTTTTTTTTTTGTCTCGTGAGCAATTGTACTTAAAATTCTCTTTCTGCGGCAAAACCAAGCAAACAATTAACCTAATCAACTTTGTTAGGATTATCCAAATAAAAATATAATCGTTCCATAATATAAAAACTTGATAATATGTTTACAAAATTTCAAGAAAAAATGTGTAAAATATTTTGAGCCAAAAAGATAAGGGGAATTTTCATGTGACATAGTCTCATGGGTTTCAATATTTGAGACGGGTCGGATCATGATAATTATTTGGGTCTTATTATATATAAACTTAGTAATATTATTTCCTGTAAATTGTCTATTATATTTTTGTTATAAAATATTACAGCTATGTTATAGAATATTGTATATAAGGTTTATAGTATTGTTTATATCTACAATATGATATAAAATATTATATATATAATACTTAAAGTATGATGATATATACGATTTTTTTATTAATACACTTTTGATATAAAGTACTATACTAATGATATAAAGTACTATATATAAAATTTGTTATGACTCATTTTTATTATATTTGTTGTGCCTCACGAATTGAGACCATTGAAAGACAGATACCCTAAACATAATTATAATAGATTGTCCATATATACTACACATCCTCATTCCTCAATGCCCTCTCCCTATCTCCTCTTAGATCCTCTGATGCTCTGTTATAAGGTCAAATTGTGTATTTCCCTCCCAAAACACTTCTAGTCTTTCTTCAATCTCTAATCTTTAACTGTGCGTCTCTCTCTCAGCAGCAGTAAGGGGCAATGGAGAATTTCAATCCAAAAAGCGTGGAAGAGGTTTTCAAACAATTCAAGGGTCGAAGGACTGCCTTACTCAAAGCTCTCACTACGGGTACGTATTACTTAAATCCAAAACAAACCATTATTACTTCTTTCTACCACTTAATAAACGAATGAATGGGGTTTTTCTTTAATTTATGCGTTTTTCCAGATTTTGATGAAGTTTATAGGCGGTGTGACCCTGCAGGTAATAAAGTTTTCTTTTCTTGATGAATAAATATTCACGTTCTTGATTATATTACCCATCCAATCTGTTTTAGTAATTAGGCTCAGCTCTGATCTGATCTTCTTCGATATATATAATATATTCAAGATTATCTTCCTTACCGATCTTAATTAATTCAATTCAATTCCCTAATATAATGCATGCATGGAAACAATTAAAATGTGTTCGGTGCAGAGAAAAGGAGGCTTTGCCTTATTGGACATCCAGGTGAACGATGGGAAGTGAATTTAGCAGAAGAAGTTATGCATCCAGTGCTTCCTCAACCCATTGGGGGCATTAACTTTGCTCGAGATACAATGGACAAAAGGGAATGGCTACTTGCTGTTGCTCTTCACTCTGACACGTGGCTACTTGCTGTTGCATTCTCTTTTAGTTCAAGATTTGGCCATAACAAAGCTGATAAGCATGTTTTTCACCTTTTCATTTGTGTCATAATTTTAATTTCACTCTCATCTCATCTCATCTCATCTGCTGTCACAGGAGTCGGCTTTTCGATATGATAAATAAACTCCCTACCATTGTACAAGTTGTATCAGGGAAAGCTAAGGAACCACCACAACACAAGCCAAAACTGCCCAAAGTTGACCGCCAGCCAAAGGTATATATATAAACTTGTATTAGTGATAGAAATGTTTTTGTTTTAATTTGTGTATATATAATGTATGTATGTTTTGGTTTGGATTTCAGAGAAAGTGGCCAACACCACCGGCAAGAATTTGGAAAGATGAGGCAATAGTGTGTGGAAAATGCAATGAGGGGTATATAATAGGTGACTTGTGGGTACACTGTTGCGAATGCGAAAGCTCTTTCCATATGATGAAATGCCTCAACTTCACGGATCAGAATCGTCAGCTATTTGTATGTTCTTCATGTGGACTCAAACCATTCGCCAGAAGTGCCGCAGGGCCATCCACAAAAATGCGAAAATTTTGAAGTATATACACAAAAATATATATGTGGAAGTTGTTGTAGTATAGTATGCCCAAAAAAGTATACAGTTTCTAAAAGTTGAACAAAAACCATTTTGTTTGATAGATGTTGTGGAAGTTTTCTGTCAAATCAAACTGCGTTTGTCTTTGAAATTAAATTTTCTATTCAGAGAGTATTGTCTGATTTTTGAAAGCATTTTCACATGCATTTTTTAAATCTCTCGGTGTCATTTTACATTTACACACTTTACCTTTCTATCCTTGCCATATCTTATATTCTGTATTTACTAAAGTTTTAATGTATCTTGAAAATATTTATTTCCACTATACAACCTTGCTTTTGTTAAATAATTTTTCTTAGACTATTTAGTTAAGTAGTCAACATACCCTTAAGGAGAGTGTTAAAAATCTAACTTATATTTTTTAATTTTGTCACCTTTAATCTGTTGAAAAAATATTTAAAAGTCTATTCGTTCCATCTAGAGTTTTACTCTTTTAAATTTTAACCGGGACCATCACCAGGTTGGACTCATCAATGTCAATGAATCAAGATGGGTCAATGGTAGTCGAGCAAAGTTTACCAACACATAAATATTGCAATGCATAATTATAATACCCTACAAATTTTACTATGGACCATGGTCCAAAATGGTGTCATTTCTTTTCCTCTTTTTTTTTTTTTTTTAATGAAAAGAAACGGCACTCGTTCCGTGTAATTAGTTCTATTTGTATAACATATTTAGTTTCATTTTATATACATTGTAGTTTCATTTCAGCACAACTAAAGTTCATTTTGTTTCAACTACAATTTCATTGACATTATACATTACAGTACTCTTATTACAGTGAGACTTGTTATTAAATTTTATTTTATACACATTGTAGTCTTATTACAACACCACTACATTATACTCCGTAATTTAATTCAACTACGGTTTCATTAGACAATATACTTTCAAATATGTGAAATTGTTATTCGATCAGTTTCATTTTATATACACTGTAGTTTCATTTCAACATGACTAAAGGATCATTTTGATATAACTACAGTTTCATTATTTGACAATATACACTTAATATGAGAGACATGTTATTCAGTTTCTTTTTATACATACTGTAGTTTTATTTCCGAAAAACTAAAGTATCTTTTCAATTCAACTACAATTTCATTTGATAATATAAACACAATATGCGAGACAAAGTATTCAGTTTCGTTTAAGTTAAATTGTAGTTTCATTTTGTTTTGAACACAAAAAAAAAAAAAAAAATAAGTGATTTGTTAAAATTTAACGGCTACTGTTTCTTTACTTAAAGAAACAGCGCCGTTTTCGGATCATGGTCCACCGTATAACAACCGATAATACCCTGACGGACCGGGGGTCCGAATTATTAAACCCGGGATAAAATTATAAAATATGACAAGTAAGGATAATGTGTAAAGACAATGATAAAATGACGTAATAAAGGTACAAAATGGATAAGTCATGGGGACATTATTGTATTAATCACGTGTTATGTTATTACAAACGTAAGAATTGCGTAATAATAAGACAAAGTAGTGGATAAAAGATAAGTTATGTAATAACAAGACAAGGCTATGGATAATATGTATGTTATGTAATAACTAGGCAAGATTATGGATAATAGGTATGGTATGTCCCAATAGGATCTGTTATATTAGCGGTTGGTAAAAAGATATTTGAAAAAATTAGTTATTTAGACTAACATGTAAAATGACCTAAAGATATACATATATTTAATAATAATAATAATAATAATAATAATAATAATAATAATAATAATAATAAAAGAAATAAAATTTATAAAAAGAACATATGGCTCCTCTTAGTTTTGGTATTTTTCCCACATCGGTGGAAAAAGTGACATGAAAGCCTTGAGGCTCCTATAAAAGGAATCAAGGCTCCAATTTTAAAATTAAGCTTGCCCATCCGTTGATGGGCAAGCAGTGAGCCTGCTAAACTTGCTTTTGTTATTCAAGGAATCGAAATGGCTCTATAGTAAATGTTTTTTTCAATACAGGGGTGTTTTTGGAAAATCATTCTCTAAAGCGCTAAGTGAAAATATTGCAAATTGAAACAAATTGTTGCTCCAAACTATTGAATAACCAATATCTTTGGGTTACATTATATTTAAAAAAAAATTAAGAATTTTTTATTCATAATAATTCATTCAACAATAATGGTTGAACTAAATAAACACTGATTAAAACACCTAAAAGATTGGTACCGTTGATTCATTCATTATTGTATATTAGAACCCTTGCAAAAATACTTGGTTACTATTTAAAAAAAAAATTAGTGACAATTATAATGAATCTCCTATATTATTTGTATATGAGTTACATATTTAAATAAACAAATTCAACATTAAATTACTTATGTATGAACTTTTCATATATAATCTATATATTTTTAAATATTTATTTAATTATATATAAACATTGTGTATTAACTCATTCGCGCAATATAATGCGCGTTTAAAATCAGTTATGTATATATGACTTAAAGTATTTATGATATATATATGTAATTTTTTTTATTACACTTTTGATATAAAGTAGTATATACAAAATTCGTTAGGACTCATTTTTATTATATCTAGAAATTGAGTCCATTGAAAGGTTGAGACGACCCTAAAGATAGTTATAATAGATTTTCCATACTACTACCAACCCCGCACATCCCCAAGGCCCTCTCCCTATACTGTCTCCTTGTAGATGCTTTGTTATAAGGTCAAATTGTGTATTTCCCTCCCAAAACACTTCTAGTCTTTCTTCAATCTCTAATTTTTTACTCCTCAGATCAGCTCGCTTCTTTAACTGTGCGTCTCTCTCTCAGCAGCAGTAGGAGGCAATGGAGAATTTCAATCCGAAAAGCGTGAAAGAGGTTTTCTTACAATTCAAGGGTCGAAGAACTGCCTTACTCAAAGCTCTCACTACGGGTACGTATTACTTAAATCAAAACAAACCATTATTACTTCTTTCTACCACTTAATAAACGAATGAATTGAATGGGGTTTTTGTTTATGCGTTTTTCCAGAATTTGATGAATTTTATAGGCAGTGTGACCCTGCAGGTAATAAAGTTTTCTTTTCTTGATCAATAAATATTCACGTTCTTGATTATATTACCCACCCTCCAATCTGTTTTAGTAATTAGGCTCCGCTCTGATCTTCTTCGATATATATTGTGAATTTCTTCTAATTAATCAAGATTCTCTTCCTTATTGATCTTAATTAATTCCATCTCCTAATATAATGCATGCTTTTAAACAATTAAAATGTGTTTGTACGTATTGCTGCAGAGAACAAGAGGCTTTGCCTTATTGGACATCCAGGTGAAGGATGGGAAGTGAAATTAGCAGAAGAAAAAATGGATGCAGTGCTTCCTGAACCCATTAGGGGCATTAACCTTGTTCGAGATACAATGGACAAAACGGAATGGAAACTTGCTGTTGCAATTCACTGTGACATATGGCTACTTGCTGTTGCATCCTCTTTTAGTTCAAAATTTGTCCATGGCAAAGATGATAGGCATGTTTTTCACCTTTTAATTTGACTTATAATTTTAATTTCACTGTTCTCATCTCATCTCATCTCATCTGCTGTCACAGGAGTGAGCTTTTCGATATGATAAATGAACTCCCTACCATTTTTGAAGTTGTGTCTGGAAAAGCTAAGGAACCACCAAAACCCCATAGCGTGTGGAAAAATATATAGTTGGTGAGTTGTGGAAACACTGTCCATTTGATGAAATGCCTCAACTGCAACAAGGATCAGCATCGTCATCAGCTATTTGTATATTCTTCTTGTGCACTCAATCCATTCGCTGCAGGGGCATCCACAAAAATGGGAAAATTTTGAAGTATATACACACAAATATTATATAGGAGAATATTTTAGAAACACAATGCTGTTGAAGTATTCTGTCAAATCAAACTGCGTTTTTCTTGGAAATTTTCTATTCAGAGTATATTGTCTGATTTTTTAAAGCACTTTTACATGCATGCATTTTTAAAATCTCTGATCTAGTGTCATTTTACATTTAGACACTTTACCCTTCTATCCTTGTCATATCTTATACTCCATATTTTCTAAAGTTTTAATGTATCTTGAAAATATTTATTTTCACTCTATAACTTTGCTTTTACAAAATAAATTTCCTTCCGACTATTTAGTTAAATAGTCAACATACCCTTAAGGGTAGTGTTGAAAATCTAACATAAATTTTCTAATTACGTATTTTCACCTTTAACATGTTGAAACAATATTTAAAAATCTATTCGTCCAAACTATATTTTTAATCTTTTAAGTTTTGACCGGGACCATCACCAGGTTGGACTCATGATAAGTCAATGAATCAAGCTGGGCCGATGGTAGTTGGTCAAATAAGTCAAAATTGGCCTATAGGCCAAATTTTTTACCAAACAGGGTCATAAACTTTTAACGTAATACACATAAACTCTTAGGGTGCAGAATGCATTGCGCATCCTGGTGCACAGTATAATTTTCCATAAATATTGCAGCGCATAACTAATTAACTATAATACCCGGCAAATTTTACTGTGGACCATGGTCAAAATGGTGTCGTTTCTTTTAATAAAAAGAAACGATACACGTTCCGTGTAATTAGTTCTGTTATATAACATATTCAGTTTCATTTTATATACATTGTAGTTTAATTTCAGAACAACTAAAATTTCATTTTGTCGTTTTAAAAAAAAAAAATTCATTTTGTTTCAACTACAATTTCATTTGACATTATACTTACAATAGTCTTATTACAGTGAGACCTGTTATTGAATTTCATTTTATACAAATTGTAGTCTTATTACAACATCACTAAATTATAATTTAATTCAACTTAGGTTTCATTGGACAATATACTTCAAATATGTGAAACTGTTATTGAGTTTCATTTTTATATACACTGCAATTTCATTTAAACACAACTAAAGTATCATTTTGATATAACTACAGTTTCAT